TTTCCCAAAATAAGAAAAATTCCCTGTACTTTTACCAAAACTTTATTTGCAAAAAAAAAAAAAAAAAAAGAAAGTATGTCATAAAAGAAATCAACAGGAAACAGGAAAGGTGTGGTTTAAGAAATAAAACTATGCATATTATTGTCAACTGTCCAAAAAGAGAATAGATTTTTAAAAGATGAAAAGGTGGGGCCAGCAGGTGGCATGGTGGTTTAGAGTGCTGGACTCTCACACTCCTGACCATGGTTCGAGTCCTGGACCTGGTGGTTTGCTTTCTCTCTCTCTCTACCCCCACTCCAGGCCATGTGGCCACGCGGGGGCGGGGTGGGGAGTCAGGGCTGATTTCTCACGTTCTCTCTTCTGTCTCTCGCATGTGCTGTATAGCAAAAATCTCTCTAAAAACAAAAAATATATTAAAAAAAAACCTGGAGAGAATGGAAAAGGGATTGAAGTGTGAATGTTTCCGGGGGGCAGGGGTGATTTCTCTGTCTCCAGTGAGCGCGCACACCCAATAGCAAAAAAAATAAAAACCTGTGTGTGTAGGTATACGTGTTAGTACGTGCGAGCTTTACTTCAAGGTGAAGGGAACTACAAAACGCACACTCTGCAAAGGGGGTAGGGTCTGACTGAGCTCCCCTCGAGGCTGCCCAGGCCCCAGGGAGCCTTGGCACAAGTCCTCTGCGGGTATGAGGGTCAAGGACGAGTGACTCCTGGCCTCTAGTGACTGCACACCTCGGGGTGGGGGTGGGGGGCAAAGCACTGAAGAGCACAAGGTCACACGTGTCCCAAGAGAAGGGGAAGGGTCACAGAGGAGGTGGCAGAGTGTCTGACGTATGAAGTGCCAGGGCTGGAGCCACCCAGTTCTCTGCCTTCCCTGACACCTCGGGTAGCTCCACTGTGACGGTGGCTGCTCCTACACTGTGTCACCACACTGTCATCGTAGGGCTGTGAACATGCATAAACGTTACCTGCCACCTCCTGGCCCTCAGCTGCTCCTTACCCTAGGAGACCCCTTCTGTCCAGTTACATCACATGTCCCAAACGTTACAACAGACTGCAAAACCAAGCCTGTGCAGAACGCCCAAGGATCGCAGGGCCCTGCCACACTGTCTTCACACACCCTACCCGCTGGCTCTGCCGTGTCCTGTCACTGCCTCCTCATCCTTCCAAGTCCTGGGACCTTGCCCAGGGAGGGCTCCCCGGTGGCCAGACTGCACCAGCTGACCTCCTCCCTCCAGCAGCAGGCATGAACACCTAGAGCGCACCCTAAGACCGCTCCGCCCCCTACGCCCGCTCAATGGGGAACGCGGCTCCCCCACCAGCAGTCATGTTGGCCTGATGCCGTGTGAGCTGGGGCCCGGGTACAGCATCGTGCATTCCGAGTGTGTGCCCTGAGCACGCCCACACAGCTCAGGCGCCAAGGCCCACGTGTGCCTCAGCACATGAGGAGGGCACATTTTTACCAAGAATAAAGAAAATGTTGGGACCACAACATTGCATATTGGTTACGCTGGGCTCCCACAAAGTCAGCCACAGTTCAAGTCCTGGACCTGGCGGGTGCATGTGCGTGTGCGCCCAAGATCCTGAGAGGAGAATGGAGGAGAAGGGATGGTGGGATGGCCATCCCCTGTGATTTCTCACTTTCTGACTGGCTCTCCAGCAAGCACATGTGCCCTATAGCAAAAATCTCTCTTATAAGGAAAAGGAAAATGTTCTGGCGTGATCTTCAACAAAAGACATCTCGGCCAGTGTTATACTGAAACCTAAGGTGCCACGACTTTTCACCTTGAGGCAGGGCCTCCCCTCCAGCTGATGCAGAAAGGTCAGGATGAGAATCTAGCCAGCAGACCACCGAGTCTCCCCCTCGGGAAGGGGTCTCGCATTGCAGCCCCCAGTCCCGAGTACTAAGCACGAACGGGAAATCACAGGACGATACTGAAACCCACAGCCCCACAAGCTCTCCGCCCAGAAGGAGACCGCCTGCCCACACCCACACATCTACCTACCGAGCACCCACCTGCAGGGTGCACCCTGCCCTCAGGAAGGAAGCACACAGCCTGCAGGCAGAAAACTTAACCTGCGTAACCCCAAAGAGGGACCCCCAAGGCAGCGAGTCCCGTGGAAACACAGACTTGCTGAAGCCGCATCTTTGCAGGGAGCAGCGTGCGGCTCACATCAGGATCAGGAAGCTCTCATCTATTCCTGCTAAGCCACTTAGCCAAGTGCCAAGCCTAGATCTCAGGTCCACCACAGAGGCCACTCTGGAGGCCAGGGACACACGCACACCTCACTGCTCAGGGCCGACGTGGGCAGGAAAACTCAAGTAAGAACCAAATAAGGACAGACAGCCCTCTCACGGCTCCCTCCGAGCTCAGGGAAGTGTGCACTCATGAAGCCAGAGCACTGGAGAGGAATGAGCACACCCAGAGCCCTTCCCTGGGTGAGACTGAAGACTGCACGCTGACCTTCCCGGGAGCCGGCAGTGAGACTCCCAGCACGTCGACCTCCCGTGCTCGTGGCCTCCTCTCCGCAGGGCAGCGCTGCCGCTGACAGGGCCCGAGAGAAGCTGCCGCCCAGTGCCCCAGCTCTGGCCACCTCAGCGCCAGGTTATCCATAAGCCCTCATGCACACTCCAGAAAGCGATGTCCCTTCGCCAGTCCAATCTCGGACGACCTCCATGACCCCATCAAAGCCTAGTATCGGACACCCAGGGAAGGGACAGACGTGTTCAAGGCTGGTGGGTGGCCCTGCTCCCGGGCGTCTGATCCTGACCTCCCTCAGGACAGGCGCAAAGGCCCAGTTCTCTAGTTCTATACAGCACGTTAGAAAACACCAATGGCTTTGAAAAACCACCCCACTATACTCCCCAGGCAAGAAGGCAAGAAGACCACTGGAGACAAAACATTCATTCCAAAATTCAATTCTTCATGCAATTTAAACTGTCGGAAGCCACTGAGAGGATGTCCTCGGCAAACCCAGAAGTGTGTCAAGATGGGTTCACCTGCCAATAAAAGGTATCAGGGCCACGGGTGGCAGTGGGCTGCACGCGGGACCCTGATCGGGGAGGAGAGGTACCTGGGGAGGTACGGGACACCAGCTGGACACAGCTCGTGCCTCCTCCCAATACCCCTCAGCCCATGGGGCAAGAGGCTCAGCAGGGGGCACAGGTCCCATCAAGGAGCGCAGACGTGGACACGGCACGCTCTTGACCAGCAAACCAAGGCCCCCCGGAGGCCTGTCCTGCCACTGCCTGATGCACTGAGTGGCTTTGGGA